ACTGTCCTGAGCCTCAGAAAACCCAAGAGGACCGACGGCTAAGCTGTTAGCACATGGGACTCGAGCAAGTCTGTCGGAACATACAACAGCAGCAAAATATTTGAAGTACCTTGAAATGAAAAATCCCACAATACCTTTTGCTGAAAGACAGTAAAATAGATGGAGAGGTACACTGTATTAGCGGAAAACTCAGAATCGGAAAGATGTCAGTTTTCCCCAAATTCAGTGATTCATAGATTGAATGCAACCCAGAAAAGACTGAGCGCCTGCACGTGTGCTCTGTGTGTACTGACTGTGTCACAGAATCTGACACGCCTATTCTAAAATTGATATGGATGTCGAGACAATCTAGAACACCCTCGCACGGCTATAGAAGAGAAAGAGGGAGGGAATTGCCCTGCTGTTATATATCGATGCTAACGTGAAGCTCTACTTCTTTACTGAATGTGGCATTGCTATATATGTGGAAATATGAGTAACGAAACGATTTAGAGTGTTCCAGAACCTCCCCACACGTATCTGGGCAGTCGGTATTGACAGACCTCACGCTGCAGGCTACTCAGCAAAAGGTTCTGCGACAATGGGGTTGAATACCTACATACAAAGTAAGATTACAGACCTGTCTTACAGAATCCTAAAAAGCTGGACCCAGATATCGCTTGGGGTGGGGTGGGGTGCTGACACGCATCTGAAGAAGCCTGAACCTAAATCCCTAAATCATATATGGTGTTGTAAACCGTTACTGCAGGAAAACATAATACAATACAACTTTTTTTTTCCACAGAAGCCCAGATAAAGAGCTAACATGAAAGCAAAAATTATTTTATGAGACAGCTTAAGAGAATATTCGTGACCTTGGGGGCGGTCAGACTACCCTAAATCACGAAAGCATGACCGAGGCAGCCCCTGAAGGGTGGCCTTGCTATCTGGCAAGGGAACAGCCCTCTCCAAGGGCCAGGCCAAAGGAGGTGAGAGGTCGCATTGGTCCAGCAGCACCAGGACCCGGCATCTCCCGCCGAGGTCACCATGCCCAGAGATGCGGGTGGAGCCAGGCTGCCCCCCTGCAGGATGCGTAGGCCGGCAGTGCTGCTCTCGGCCTGGCCGGCAGGGGAAGCCGGCCTTGAGCAAGTCCACTGTCGGGGCTGAGTGGGCGCATGGGAAGAGAGGACTGCCCGGTGCCCGTCTCCTAGCCTCCGGGAGCCTGGGGGACTGGGCAGAGCGGCCGTCTTTAAATGCGCTGCGATTGTGTTTGGCCAGAAGGAGACAGGCAGGAAAGGAGCAGCGGCCTGCGCACGGGGAGGGGAGGCGGTGCCTTGCGAGGAATCAGTGGGCTCCTCTCCCAGCGGCCCTTTGGTCTGAACCTCCGAACCGGGCTCAGCAGGCACTAGACCCTGGCCTCCTGGCTAGCTGTGGTGAGCCCTGGAAGGTGCACTCCCGGGCAGGGGTGTCCTCTCGCGGCAGGGACTGCCGCTCGGGGCGGGTGACAGTTCCAGCCATGATGTTTAACGTGTGTGATGTGTCCCCAGGTCGGTGAAGCCCAAGTGACCCGTGCAGCCTGCTTCACAGCAGAACAGCCCCTGTCCTGCCTGCCCGATGTCACGCCGCTGGCACCCAGCCCAGCTCCAGCGACTTGATTCTTGCCGAACCTTGTGCTCAGCTCCTCTGGGGAGGCGGCCATGTCCTGGGGCCTGCCCCACCCTCCATCTGGCCTGGGCTGGCCCTGCGCTCTGCTGTCACACAGCGTCCCCTGCCCAGCACACCCAGCCACTGGGCGTTTCGGGCTCACCTGTCTCTAGACCAGCCTCTGACTTTGGTCAAGAAACCGTTGACTTGGTCACCTGCCTTTCGCTGTCCCTAAGATGCCATTGTGGCGTCTGCTGGCGACTAGAGTCCAGGGGCAAGGGGCCTGGGGACGTGCGGCGACAAGGGACTGAGACGCGACACTGCTGATGTGTGTTGTCTCGGGAGCCTCTGTCCTCCCAGTGAGGACAGAGGGGTGGCTGGCAATGTCCTCTCACTGTCCCAGCAGCCCTGTAGCTATCTGTACCTTATAGTTGAGGAAGCTAAAACAGAGAGGCTGAGTGCATTGCCTAACATCGCATAGCTGGCCAGTGGCAAAGCTGCGTTCAAAGCTTTTTTTGGTTTGCTTTCAAGAATTGAGCCACATGCATCTCCGTTCACCAGGCCTCTAGCTACTCAGTGCTGGCAGAAGCCGCAGGGGCAGCAGGGGATGGCTGAGCGCCCCGTGCACCTTCCCATGCAGACATAAGACAGTCCCAAAGCGCGGTAACAATGGGGACAGCATGCTGCATTCCGACAGAAGGCCATGTCCACCCTCAGCGGGGGCGCACCACGCTCTCATGTTGCCCGAGCAGCCTGGGTCTATCTAAGGGCGAGAGTGCCCGGATGGGCGGCTCCTGACGCTCGCAGGCGAGGGCTGGGGCAGTGCCAGGACACAGAGAGCCTCTGGGCCAGGCATTCCTTGGACGAAATGAGAGCCCCGCCCGTCCCAGCGGCATTACTCAGAATGACAGCCCAAAGGGCCGTCCATAGCCAGGGCACAACACGACGTGGTCTGTCTGTGCCGTCAAACACTATTCAGCCCTAGTTCTCTGGAAACTGAAGCGAGCCTTTCCCAGCGCACTCTGCCCAATGCGGAGGCCACCTGTACCGCTCCAGTCATCGAACTCTTGTCTGGAGGCCGCCTCCACCGCCCCAGCCCCAGCCCCAGCCCCCTGCCTCCATAGGTGATCAATATCCACCTGTTTTTCTTGGGTCTGGGGCCGTGTTCAGAGCCGCCTCTGAGGGAGCTCATGAACGGGAGAACATATCATTTAACCAGATGCACCCTGGTTGTCTCGCTGGGAATCCAGACCCGGCCCTACGGGGTCTTGGCCAAGCACAGCCCAGACAGGGTGAGCTGTCTCCTGCCCTTGCTCCAGGCCTGGGCCCAGAGCAGCCAGGTGGACACAGTGGCCTGGAATTCACTTTGCAAGATCTCTCTACAGGATTGTCGGGGCTGGACAGGATAGACTCCATGGTCACCAGAATGCTTGTTTCCTGTTTCCCTTCGCATCTGTGTTCATTTGCATCCCAACCCGCTCCTTGCCACAAGTGTAAAGCTCTAAAGCCATGCGAAGTGGACAGCCCCAGGTGTGACTGGGCTTTTGGCTACAGGTCCTTCGGGGGACCCACAGTTGCCTGGGCTGTGGGCAGAGACAGTGGGTTCTTGGGATGCGCTGATTGCCCAGCCCTGGGAGCGCCTCTGGGGTTCCACCCAGCAAGGAGCAGGGAGAAAAGGACTGGGAAAGCCTCCAGGCCAGATACTATTCCTGCGAATTCCCTCATTGGCCAGGTGCACACAGTGCAGGCAGGGAGAAGGCGTCATCTTCATACTCGGCCACCTTTCTCTTTGGGTTTTTCAGTTACACAAAGAAGCGCCTGATTTGGGTTTTTAGCCCTGTCTGTCTTTCCATTCCAAGTCCCCAAGGCTGAAGTTCCTAGCGCAGCCCGCCCGACCCCCACCCCCGTGTCCAGCCCTCTTCCCGAGGGGCAGGAGGGTGGCTGTGTCCAGACGGTGGCGCTCGGGGACAGGCAACCCCCCTGTCCCCCACTGTAGCAGGAAGGTAGTCTGGGACAAGTGTCAAGGTGTTTGCTGAAATATTCTGGGACGATCCTCAACAAGAGCCCTAGCTTTTAGCCGAGGGTAAAAAAGCGCTCTCGGGACCAAGGCTGTTGAGGGAGCGCGCATCAGAATCTCCCCCTTTGGTCTGGCAGGAATCATTCCCATTTCCCCAGCCCGAGGTCGAGGTCGGTCTGTGCGCTCTGAGCACCTGGGTGCTCCACGGCCACCTGCACTCCGGGGAGGGTAGACCTGAGACCCCCAGCAGGGGGCGGCTATGGAAAGGGACCGAGGTAAGCTAAGCTCTAGACAGGGGTGTGGGGGGGGGCACCTGACCCTCCGGCGGCTTCTGGGCTGCGCTGCCTGGCTCCACTGCGGTCCGTGGCCGCTGCGGCGCAGCTCCCCCCGCCTGCCCACTCTGCGGAGCCCTTTGGGAGGGCACAAGAGTTGGAGCCGCTCCCCCGAGTTGCTTTGACGAGCGGTGGCCCAAGAGAAGGACTTTCTGGCCCATTTTACTATCTCCCAAGCAACCTCAGCTCTGTCAGCCCGGATACCTGGCAGCAGAGAAGGGGATGCGCTGCTGTTGTCGCTTGCCCCAAAGTTGGGAAAAAGAGGCCACCAGAGACGGCACCACCGTCCTCTCCCCCACCCCCACCCCCAGCTCCCAGAGTAATGACTCTCTCCGGGCTCTCAAAGCTGGGGGCAGACTTCTTATGGAGAGTGCAAGTCCAGGGCCTGACCGAGCCGAGACTGGCCACCGTGGGAAAGGGAACGAAACAGCATCTGGCAACTGCAAGAGAAGGAATAGGTCCCTAGAAACTAGGTACTGAGATTTGGGGTGACGGCCCCCAGCAGCGTGTCCTGCTTTCCGCAGCTGCAGGAGGCTCTGAACAGGCCAGAGTCTCCAGAGTAGGATGAACCTCTCAAGGGGAATGGGGGGCCCCAGATATAGGCTGAGAGGACCAATGGCTGCCCCTCAGGGTCTGCTGGCTTGGGTGGGCACTGGACCTCAAAAGGGACTGCATGCTCCCACTCTGCATTCTACATTGCATTGTGGCTCAGCTCTTGTGTAAATGAGGAAAAAGAAACCGCTAGAAACAGATGCGAAATCGCTGGAGAGAGGGGCGGGGGCTGTGCTCAGAGCTTGTCACGAAGCAGGGTACCTGGGGGACTGCAAGGGGGGCAAAGGCTAGAGAGGGGAAGCACATACAAGGTAGTCGGAAGCAAGACAACACCTCGAAGTGGATTTGTCCAAGAAGCCTTGGTCACCGAGGCAGGGGTGGTCAGGGAGCGCTGATTGGTAGGAGGGAGGGATTTGGGGTGGGGCTAGCCTCCTCTTGAGGCTTTAAAAGCTCATCGAGAGGGGCGCGATGCTGTCATTCCCTCTCTGGTTCTCCGAGTGGGAGGCACACTTTCCCGAAGCTCCTGGTGACTGAGCGGGTGTTCGCTGTCTGGACCCTGCTGGGAGATCCGACAGCCCCCAGCAGCAATATGAGTCCCACCCTGGCCGTTCCCACCCCCTACGGGTGCATTGGCTGTAAACTGCCCCAGCCAGACTACCCACCGGCTCTAATCACCTTCATATTCTGTGCGATGGTCGTCACCATCGTCGTGGACCTGATCGGCAACTCCATGGTCATTTTGGCTGTGACCAAGAGCAAGAAACTCCGAAATTCTGGTAAGCCACCCTTCTTTTCCCCAACCCAGCATGCAGCCTCGCACCTCGTAGAGTGTTAGTTTGGGTACCCCAAATAGGAAACCCTGGACCGTGCCCTCACCTTGATGGTCTCGGCCCCCAATTCCCCGCGAACCTGGGGGCGGGAGGTAATGTTCATTCGGGCCCCATAAACTTAGAGCTTTTCAAGGCCAAGGGGGCTCGGAATTAACCTGGGGCGTCCAGGTGCGAAGCCCGGGGTCCGCGGGGCGCGGCTGGGGGCCGAGCCCTGCCGGTCCGGGAGCTGGAGCAGCGGTATCCGGCGCCTGGCGGAGAGTCCCGCAGCCGCGCGGGGATGGCACGCCGAGCGGGATGCGCCGAGGTGGACGCGCGGAGGCGGCGCGGGCGGAATGGCGACCCGCTCCGGGAAAGTTAAGTTCGTGGCTGCTGCGGCGGCGCTTACCCGAGCGAAGCGCGGCGGCCGCACCCCCACACCGGATCTCCGGCTCGCCGCGGTC